GCAGTTTCAGGAGGAAGATGAGCCAAAAAGGGAGATCTTTCAGGCCTCACTGCATTTGTGCCTCTCTTCACGAAAATAATTATTTTTCAGCTCTATGTAAACCTTGTACTAAGTGCTGCAGATACAGTGCTGACCACGACAGACTCTGCCCCGCTCTCCTGGAGTTCTAGTGGGGTGCCTGCCTTAAACCATCACAAAAGCAAATAAACAATTACAAATAGAGTGAGGGGATGTCAGGGAAGAGATCTCTGAGTGACATTTGAGCTCCGACCTGAAGGATGAGTAGGGGTGGCCAGGTGAAGGGGAGGGAAATTCCGAGCAGATGGCTTAGCATGTGCAAGGGCCCGGAGGCCAGAATGAGCTTGGCACTCTCCCTGCACTGGCAAAGGGAGCCGGAGCCTGGTGAGAGGGAGGGAGGGGAAATGAGGCTGTAGGGAGAAGTAGGGAGGGGTCAAACCAGGCACTCTAGGGGCATGAGAAAGACTGGATTTTACCCTAAGTGCTGAGGGGGGCCAATGAAGCATTTATAGCAAGGGAGTGATCTCATCAAACTGAAATTCAGGAGAGCTGCTTTGTGGAAACAGGATACCTGGAGCAGCTCTGATCATCAAATGCTCTCTGAGCCCAGCTTCATGTGGAGTGTTGGGAGTGACCACTCTCTGGGACCTCTGATAGCCACAGCACGAGGTAGACATGCTGAATTCTATGAGAGATCCAAAGAAAAAGGCTCAGAGGAGGTGAGGAGGGGCATCCAAAGAGCCCTGCAGGGGGAGATGGCATCTGAGCCAGGCTGGGAGTGTGGGTGACGCTGAACCTGAGTGTTTGTGTGGAGAGGGCATTCCAGGCAGAGGCACCAGAGTGAGTAAAGGTGAAGCCAACCAGGCACGCAGACCCTGCACCCTTTGTTCCCAGCCTACACACCCTTCCTCCCTTCTTTCCCCAATTAACTCCCGCATGTCCTTCAGATGGCTGCATCGGTGCTGTACTCTCTGCTTCCTCAGGCGGTGGGGCCCAGGCAGGAGGTAATCTGAGGGGGCACAGCTCCTCTACTCACTTTGCCACCATGTTCAGTTTCTTAGCTGCCAGTGCAGGGCTGCGTGATGGCTTAAGCACCTGGACTGGCTGCTCTGATCCCTGTGGGGCGATTTGGTCACTCAGGCTGTGCTGGAGATCCAAAATACCTGAGAGTCAGCAGGAAGCCACCCACAGGCATAGTCGGGCATTGGCTGGGGAGGCTGAGTGGTGGATTCATTTACCTTCACCCTGGCCCCAGTCAAACCCAATGCAACAAGCAAAAAAATGACTACAACTAGTTTTCTGTTGGAGAATTTCAGCAAAATTGTGTGTGTGTGTGTGCGTGTGTGTGTGTGTGATATATTCACATGCATCATTGTGACTGCATCTGGAGAGGTCTGTGAATGTGCTCCCATGTCAATGTGCATGTAAATGACAGCAGCTCACATCCACTGAGCTAGCACATGCTCTGTGTTCTCACTTGAATCCCTCTGTTTAATCCCCACTTTATTAGAGGAGACTGTTGTCGACCCCACTTACAGATGAGGAAACTGCATGTGTGAATGGTTTCCACAGCGGGATGTCAGCTAGACTCCTGTGTGCAGAAGGGCTTTTTGCTCCTAGAATTCTAAACCATGTATCAACTCTTAGCAGGAAAGAGATTTTTCCCCGTCCTCGTGGTCATGTGGCAGAGAAGAACTCACTTCTTTCCTGTAATGCCCTTCAAATCACTGGCTCTGAAATAAAAGTATAACATCTTCTAATGCAGTCTATTATCAGATGACTGCCACACATATTAGGAAGACGCATGCAGTCCACTCCAGAGAAAGAAAAGTACCCTGGTACGGCGCAGCATTAAACGGCATGTCTCTGGCTCCTGTGCTTTCTAATAAAGGAAGCAGTGACTCTGATCTTTGAAGACATCTGTTCTAAACCCACTGTGTGACTTACCTCTTTAAGAAACAAACAAATAAACATTTAATTTGCTTGTAAAGGCTGAATATCGTTTTTAGGTTTCTAATGTATTAAAAACTTATAGGTAAAAGGCATTCTAATCGTCTCAGCTTTCCAATCTCTTGAATCATTTCAGCTTTATGTCCAGCATTTGACAACCCAAACTGACTTACAAAATGCTCATGTTAATTCACACGGAGGAACTGTATATCTGTGCGTGTGTGTGCGCGTGCGTGTGTGTGTGTGTGTGTGTGTGTGTGTGTGTGTGTGTGAGACTGCTGGCATTCCCTTTGTGCTGACTCCAAATAAAGCCCTGAAAGCTTTGGATGTCTTCCCTGCCCCTTACCCTTTTCCCTTCTTTCCTGAGAATTCTTGAAGCCTTCAGAGCAGGGCCTGGCACACAGCAGGCACCAGGAGGTGTCAGCTACTGCTATGATGATGGTGATAGCTGGCATCACCACCAACACACCCTTTCCTCCCACCCATGTTGGGAAACCTGCATCCCCTCAGCCCGTAGTAGGAAGGAGCTTCCCAGGCCCTGCACACCCTGCATTTTATCCTAGAAGCAAGCAGAGTCCCTATCACCATGGCCCCTGGACCTCTCCACTTCTGCCACCTTGGCCTTCCCTGACTCCCTCCAATTTGCCTTTCTCCATCCCACGAGACCCTGCACTCTCTGTTCCCAGCCTGCACACCCTTCCTCCCTGTCTCCCAGGTAACTCCCGCTCATCCTTGAGACAGCTGCATCTGCATCATCTCCCCAGGAAACCTGCTTCCATGTCCCCGACTACTCCACTCCCCCCATAATGGACCTTCGTCACACCATGTCCTGCTCCTTCCCTGCGTGTCACAGGGAAGTTCACACTTCTCTGGTGATGATCTGCCCCTCTCTAGAGTATCTCCCCTGTGAGACTGAAATTCCAACAAGGCAGAGCCATGGAGCCCCAGAGCCGAGCACAGCTGATCTGAAACAGAATCGGCACTCAGTAACATTAGCTGCATGATTTTACAGAAAGGGGTTTGAAGTAACAGTATAAGAAGGAAGGGACTAGAAGAACAGCAACAGTGAAGGGAGAGAGAAAAAGGCCAGAAGCTCACACTGGCTCTCCTTCATCCAACCTCTAGGCCTCTCCACCCCTCAGCCTGCCTCCTTCCCCAGCCGAGAGATGCAGATCCATGCTGGGAGCTTCAGAGCCCATCTGGCTGCAGTGAGGGGATTCTGCTCTGAGCTCTAAGGATGCACCTGGTACATCTCCAGTGACAAAGTGACTCCAAATAATACCCAGGCCCTATGTCCAACCCTCCTCTCTCCGCTCCCTGCCCTGAAGGGAAGTCTCACCACATTCCAGCACCATCTGCTTGGGCACAGCGTGCCAGGCCCTGGCTGAGGGGCCCTGCTGGCAGCAAGAGTTCCTAGGCCACCATGGAACCAGCACCCACAGAAGGCAAGCAGGTGCCAGACACATGATCTGGGTCAGGGACATGGTGCCAGCTGCTGAGTCTCGTGGAGGATGAGGGGGGTGAGATGGAAGTGTCAGTGGGTGGCACAATGGTAGAACAGCCAGCTCTGGGTGAATCTGGCCTAAATTCAAAAGTTTCACATAGCAACAAAGGATGGTATCCTGCTGGCAAAGGTGTGCCCTGAATCCAGAGGGTCAAGTTAAGGAAGGATTCTAGGCATGGCAAGGTCGGGAGTCTGGCTTGAGAAAAGTGGCCTAATAGTGGGTCGTCATGTGCCCTCTAGGGACAGGCTCACAGGCCCTCTAGTACAAGGAGACACAGGGGACATCATACAGACAAAGAGAGGGCCCACCAACAATGAATGCAGGGGGTGGGAGGCCAGGGCACTGCCCACTGCAGCAAGACCCTTGGTGTTAGGACGAGGCTGCTGCCATCTGCTCTGCTTCAGGCTCGTGGGAGGCCACTCCCTGGGTGCAGCTGCTGCTGGGAACATTACTGGAAAGAGCAAGACTCATAACTGGGGAGATATGTGTGCGAATCCCAGCTCAACCCTTGCTGGTAACCTTTACTGTGTGACTTCGGGTCAGTCAATGAACTCCTCTGAGCCTCCACATTCATACAATGGGAATTGTAAATCAGCCTCAGAGGGTGGAGAGGAAGAGGTGTTTAGTCCAAGGGCCTACTATGTGTCCAGTGGTGAGGAAGGCTCTGGAGATATCACTGTAAGCAATACTGGGCATGACGCCTGCACTGGTGGGCGTACGGCCTAGTGACCAAGGTGGATGTTAAGCAACTCATCCCACAAATAAACGCTTCATCACAAACTGCAATCAACTGTAGGAATCAAAAGCACCAGAGGCTGGTGCTTTCAACAGGAGGCCTTGACCTAGTATAGGAAAAGGAGGTACCAGCAGTCTTCCTGGAGGAGGTGGCAAGTGAGCAGAGTTCTGATAGAGGGAGTGGGGCACCCACTCTGTCTGAGGGCAAAGGGGCCAGGAAGCATTCTGGGAGAGCAAGGGACCCGTGCAGCAGCAGCTTCTGGATGGACCTAGATGAGAGAAGGCCTACAGAATGCCAGCAAGGCAGAAAGCAGCAGTAGGGGTGGGGTCCCAAAGGGCACTGCCAACCTCACACGATGTTGTGAAGAGCATCCCAGGGCTGGCTTAGCAGCCACTAGAATGGGAGCACCCAGCATTACCCACAAAAGAGCATCCCAGCCAGAAGCCAGGCCCAGCAACTGACACACCCCTGGATGGTTTCTAGGTTATTTAGATGTTCCATTGAGAGCACAGAGCAGCCTTCATCTACTGCCTTAGCTCCAAAATCTTGATCCCCTCGCCCTCAAATCAGGACTTAGTCCCAGGAAGCCTTTCTTCTATTTCTCCCGGGAAGTCCAGCACACGATTCTCAGGAAAATGGTGTTTTGAGAAGCCTGTGTTCAAATGCCAAGATTCTCAGTTAACTGTGCAGTGAAGGGAGGCTCCTGGCCCACCTGCCCCCTCAAAAGAATAAGCATAGTATTCATATGTAGAAATCTCTTTGTCAAAAGACCAGCAGGGATCTTTTTTTTTTTTTTCATGGAATGCTTCACAAATTTGCATGTCATCCTGGCACAGGGGCCAGGCTCACCTCTATATCGGTCCAATTTTAGTATCTGTGCTGCCGAAGGAAGCAAGGGACTCTTATTATTTAATCCTTAGGTTCTTCCTCCAAGGCTCCTTTTTTTGAGCCACTGCCCATGAACTCCACAGCTACAGTTTCATAAAAAAAGGTGAATGCAATATAGCAGTTTCCCATCTCTCAACTAGTCTAAACCTCTGCGTCTTCGGTCTCACTCTGTCTGTGCCGCCTGTTTCACAGTGTATAATTAAGCCAGAAGAGCCTGGAAAAACCCCTTCTAATCAATAATTCAACATGTTGGTCTCCTGTGACATTTTTTTCATTACAATTCTCCAGGTCAGTCATTCATGAATTCTCCAGGATGGAGTTCCCTGCCGTGACACCAAAGTAGAATGTAGTTTTGGGGTAATTATGTGTTTTTTAATTATCCATCGTTTTCTTTTCCTAAACTGCCAGAAAGAATGGTTTATAAAGAAAGATGTTATGGTCTCATGAGTTGGGCATTTGCAAAGAAGGAGATTCAAATGAGGGTACAAATTAGAGTAACAGGAAACATTTTGGATATTTGCTGAGTCAAGAAAGACCCATTTAGAAAGAGGTGAAAATAGTTCAAGCACCTTTTAAAAACTGCTGACATGACATTTCAGCTTTATAATGAGCACTACTGAGGCATCAGTGGCCTTGCCCTCTTTCTCTTTTTATTTTTTAAGAAAGAATCTCATTCTGTCACCCAGGCTGCAGTGCAGTGTTGCGATCTCGATCTCGGCTCGCCACAACCTCTGCCTCCCAGGTTCAAGCGATTCTCCTGCCTCAGCCTCTAAAGTAGCTGGGACTACAAGCGTGCACCACCATACCCAGCTAATTTTTAAAATTTTTACTATAGACAGGTTTTCACAATGTTGGCCAGGCTGGTCTTGAACTCCTAACCTCAGGTGAACCACCTACCTCACTCTCCAAAGTGCTGGAATTACAGACATGAGCCACCGCGACTGGCCCTTGTTCTCTTTCTCATGCTCTGCCTCCTCCTCTCCCGAACTCCAACCCATCACTCTTTCTTCCCAGCTGCAGTGGACACAGCTAGTGGCTTGGCTAATACCCATTCTCTCCTTCGCTCCATATTCCATTCCAACAATAGGATTCTGATTTTGTTCGGCATGGCAACATGTCGAATTAAAAATGCCTCTCCAGTTCCACTGCAGCTAGACTAGGTGAACCCATCCAGCCAATGGGATGCAAACCGAAGTCTACTGTGTGAGAACTTAGGAAAACAAAACTGCCTCAGTTGGCACGGCCTGTGCCTTTGCCTTTAGTCTTCCTGCCTGGAATGGGAAAGCGAGGGCTGGAAGAAGAGCAGTCACTGTGCAACCGTGAAGATAAAACACACATTAAGTACGGCAAAGCAGAGAGCCAAAAGATACCTGGACAACTGGACTTTTGGTTGATCCTTCAAGCAACTGAACCAGTCCTGAACAGACTTCTTTAGGATTCTGTTGGTTACATGTGAAAAACCAACTCTTGTGTGATTACACCATAGTTAGATGAGTATTCTGTCACATGCAACCAAGGCAAAGCCCAAATGACATACATTTCTGTATATCAGGACACTCACAGATCCAACTAAATCATCCCAATTTGCATAAGCACCCCTCTTTTGGGCCCAACAATTTTGCTGGCTCCATTCCAGGAAAAGGCTTTAAGCAAGGCCTAATATGGAACCCCATGGAAAAGCTGTCCTCTACCCACTTAAAACAGGAAAGGGCAATGAGCGCTGCTGGCTCCACCAAACTGCAGACAGGAATGCAGGCAGTAACCTCAGTGGCTACAATGAAAACCTTCCATGATGGTTCAAGCTCACCTCACACTTGCTGAAAAAGCAGCAGTATTTGTCTTGGTGACCTTTGCATTCCAGCCAGTGCTTGGCACACTGTAGGTGCTCAATCAGCATTTGCTAACTGAATGAAAAGATGGAGACTGCTACATTCTCCTATTTCCGTCAGGAGCCTGCAGCTTCTAACCAAGGACAAAGTGGCTTCTCTCCCTGTTATTCTTAGATATCTACTAACAGAAGTTATGCTTCTCGTCCCAATGACCTTAGGCTCTGTGTCTAGCGGTCTCACACCCACAGAGAAGAATGCTTCCACCAGGGAACACACCAGTGGTTCCACTGACCTGGATGCTGAGTCTGCCACCCAGCCACTCTGAGCCCCTCCTGCCACTGAGTCATCAGGCAACAGGGGTCACTGCATGGTGGGAATGACTGATCCTGACTCTCACGGGTAAAATGCGTTGGTTCTACATAAAAGGAAAAGGAGCCGCATGTCTGGAATTCAGGAAGTCCTCTGGGGTGCCTTTTAATACTCCCACGTTCTATGATTAAAGTTAACAGAAAACTACAATACAACCCAATTCAGGCAGGACTGCTCATGGCCTCAGCCAGTGATCAGCTAACTACAGAGCCCACAGGCCAAATCCAGCCCCCCAGCTGCTTTTCTAAATAACGTTATTGTTGTAACACAGCTGAGACAGAGACTGAATGGCCATCGAAGCCTACATTTTAATATATGACCCTTTATAAAAAAAAGTTTGCTGATTCTTGGCCTAGACTTACAACCTGCCATTCTTGCTGAAGGCAAAGGAAATGTTAAATGAATAGAATAAAGGTGGTTGTAAATACCAGGTATGACCATGTGACCAGTTTCAGAAATAAGAATTATAATATTTGTATGTCTTTCTCATTTTGATATACATGATCATATATATGAACCACATATGTGTTTTCACCTCGGCCATCCCTTAATCTACACAGTGGGGTTAGTAGCAATTGCATGTATATCCCAGGATTTAAGTTACATGCATCAAAGGAGGAGTGTGCAATAGCTAAGAGCAGAGCAGATGTTACCCCAAGGCAAAATGGGGTTTTCTATCCTCTTCTGGGAAAGGGCGAGCACACGTTTGGCCATGTGTGCATTGGTTGTGTCACTCTGGGAAAGGGTGAGCACATGTTTGGCCATGTGTGCATTGGTTGTGTCACTCTGGGAAAGGGTGAGCACATGTTTGGCCATGTGTGCATTGGTTGTGTCACTCTGGGAAAGGGTGAGCACACGTTTGGCCATGTGTGCATTGGTTGTGTCACTCTGGGAAAGGGTAAGCACACGTTTGGCCATGTGTGCATTGGTTGTGTCACTCTGGAAAAGGGTGAGCACACACTTGGCCATGTGTGCATTGTTTGTGTCATGTTATGCAGAAGCATGACTTGGCTCTGTCTTTATTTGGACAGTAAGTACGGTTGAAGGTGACACACGTGGGTTTCAGGTTGATGGAAGTGGACCACAGTGACTTTCTAACATGACAACTTGGTTAAGATGAACTACGTTTCCCAGAACTCCCTCTCCGGTAGGTTTCCCATTAGGGCAGGGCCCAAGGGAGATCCTTATGGGAGATTTGGAAAGAAGAGAAGCAGCATGCTGCCACTGATCCAACTCACAGCCAGACCTGCAACTGCTCCATCTTACCCTGCATCTTGCTTCAGCTTCTCCAACTCCCAGGCGAGGAACATAGGACTGGCTGCAGGCCCTGGCTTTGTAGAACACCTATACCATCAAGGTCAGAGGCAAAATAAGCAACCCAGAGTCCAGCCCAATCCCTGGTCTCCAGCGTGCGCTTGGGAGTCTCCAGCATGCTCCTGCTCTCCTCTACTTCACATCTATCTTCTCTACCCAACCACCTGGTATGTGGACTTCAAGTTCTAGCACGAGATGCAAAAGCCAAATTCCTCTAACAAACCCTGTAACAAAACCTGATACATATTAACACATGTAGGACCTCCCCGTGGTTCTGTTTCTCTGATTGAACCCTGACTGACGCAGCAAGTACCCACTAAATGCAAGGTACACTTGAAGTGGTGGTGAAGAAGAATAGACATAAACCATAAGTTCACATTATGATGGAAGGAAAATGGGCTCCAACTGCTCAAACAAAAGAGAACAAAAGGATAAAGGCTACAATACAGACATAAACAATGTGCTCCAGAGGCATGGAAGAAGCAAATGCTTTGGAGATAGCCAGGCCTGAATTATAATCCTGGCACCACCCACCACCAGCTGCGTGACCTTGGTAAACGTCACCCAGGAGTTGTCTGCTCCTTCTGCTTTCCTCTCCCTGAAAGGGAACTTCTGGGAAACAGAGATTGTTTTTGACGGAGGGGAACATATCAGGAAAGGTTTTATATTAAAGGCTGTCACATCTCAACTGTGCCTTGCAGAAACGTGGTTCAGCACAGTGCGTTTCCATCTTGTGCAGAAGGAGTTAATACGTTTTGGTGGCATAGTATGGGAAAAGGTCATCCTACAAATATTCAAAAGCAATTTCATGAAACAGTGGGCTCTCATCCATCTGCTGTAACAAACTGGCTGGGCGCTGTGGAGCCTTAAGCACTATACATTCAGCGAAATTATGACTCCCACTGGGGGTATATCATATTTTTTTCAAGGCTGAAATGAAAAGATATACAGTGTACTGTATACATAGGCCTATTACGCCGGGGAAAATACCAGAGCCAGTTTTGCTGTTTATGGAAGATCAATGATAAATCATCCTGTATAATCTGCAACTGGCTGTTTCATTTGTTCTTTAATGTTCCACTGATCTTTTGGAAATGAAGGAACTTCACATAAAACAAGCAGTTTGATGAACTTTAATCTTACCCATAATTGGATAATAAAATTGGGTACGTGTGGTAATTAAAAGGATTGTGATAAAAGAGTCGATCTGCAGTTTCACATTGAGTCTCTTCCATAAACCAGGGAGTTCAGTTCAGGGCATGCTAGGAATCAAAAAGCAGCCCTGTGGGCTAGAAAGCGACATTGTGTTGTTGTTGTTGTGTTGTGTTGTGTTGTATTGTGTTGTAGTGGTGGTGTTGTGGCAGTGGTGGTGGTGGTGTGTTGTGGTATGTTATGTTGTGGTGTTGTGGTGTTGTTTTGTTGTTGTTGTTAGAGGGAAAGGTATTTATGGAGAAGACAGACCATGTCAGTGAGGACTAATATTATCACCAGGGGA